ACCCCAGGGGTGCCCACCCGGGCTGTGGCCACTCGAGTCGTGGACCGACTCCGCCGTGTGCCCGCGCCTCCGCCCAAACCTGGCAGGTAGCTGCGTGGGGAGACTTGGGCAGTGGTGAGGCCCTCAGAGCCCCGCTTGTCCCCCGTGAGGAGCCCGCCCTGGGCCTGCGCCGCCGGGGGACAAACCCAGCGCAGCCAGAACCTAACGCTGCGTGTAGGTTTCCGAGAAACTTTCAAGGCCACTTACTCTTGTTGTTGTTAATCCTCACCTGAGGTGATATTTTTTCGAGAGAGTTCAAGGAAGGGAGAGGGAGAGGAGTGGGGGAGAGAGAGAGAGAGATCTCTGTGAGAGACACATCAATTGGTCGCCCCCAGGCGCCCGCCCACCAGGTCGAACCTGCAACCCGGGCCCCTGCCCTTGACCGGGAACTGCGACCCTTCCCCGCGCGGCCTGACCTCCAACCACTGGGAACACCGACCAGGGCTCAAGCCCACTTCTTACTACAGAGCATGGGGAGAACTTAAAATTGCTCTTAACCGATCACCCCACAGTCAACTTTTAAAAGCCTTTGAATGGACTTTAAGCGGGAAAAAAAAAACCTACACTTAGTGTTATTGATGTCAGCCTCTACCAGTGGTTCTCAACCTTCCGGCCCTTTAATACAGTTCCTCATGTTGTGGTGACCCCCAACCATAAAATTATTTTCGTTGCTACTTCATAACTGTAATGTTGCTACTGTTGTGAATCGTAATGTAAATATCTGATATGCAGGATGGTCTTAGGCGGCCCCTGTGAAAGGTTCGTTCCACCGCCAAAGGGGTGGCGACCCACAGGTTGAGAACCGCTGGGGGAGTCTAATCATTTTTTTTTTTAAATCCCCAAGCCTTTGATCTGTGACGTAAGCGACTTAGACCGCGGTTTCAGAATCACTTAAAAGTTAAACCTATGTGACAGCACCAGGGGGAGCTTACTGTCTGGGATCAGGGGATTCAGTCAAAGCCAACATCTCTTTTCTCTAAGACTTTTTCTTCAGCCTTCAGTGTAGCCGCCAAGGATTTTACTTCCAGAAGCTTGCCTCCCTCCCGACTCCCTGACAAGGAGAAATCCGGCATTTCTGCCCTTCTTTTCACTTTCTGAAAACGTTGCATTGGCCTCCGCTCCAGTGAACTGGACGTTTCGGTATAGAGTGGACTCGCCACAGTTCTAGGGACACGGGGCTGGTATCACACCATGAAATGTGTGCCGTGGACCTGACATTGTAGGGACTTGTCTTCCAAGAGGCATGAAAGGGAGATTCAAAATGTAGAAACAGTTTTTGATTTTTAAAAGCAACTAACATATTAATATAGTTGCAAAAAAGATTTAGAAAAGTGTTCACTGAGATCTATGCCTGTCTACTCTCCCACCATCTCATATGTAACCATTCTCTAGTTTATTTTTCAAATGTTTCTTGTGCAAATGTAAGTATTTATATTTTAATAACATATTAATATTAGGATAGCTATGGTTGTATGTGTACAATTCCTACCTTTATCTCACATGGGATGTAGCAGGGTATATACTGCTTTTTTTTTACTGAATACTGTCCTTAGAGATTTCTCTAGCAATATGTAGAGCTCTTTATCATTCTTTTTACAACTGCAGAATATTTCCTGTTCCATAATTGATCTGAAAAGTCCTCCATTGGCACATACTTGGTTGTTGACAGCCTGTTGCTATTACAGATTTTGCTGCAGTGAAAATCCAGTACTTGTGGCATTGTGCACATACACAGGTGTATTGTCTTCTAGATTTACAGAAGTGGGTTTGCTAAATCAAAAAGCAAATCCATCAGGAGGAGGGGAAGCAGCAAACTGGTGGGCACTGCCTCCTGGTGCTGGTGGTGACGGTGGGGATCAGTGGAGGAGGAGAAGTCTGGGGATAGGGCTGGGAACTCTCTCCAGCTGTGTGTTTTAGGACCAAGCTCAGAGGCCTTGGTCTTACTTTCTTCTGGAAAGTGCTGCTTCTAACCATCCTGAGTGACGGCTTTTTTAATTTTTATACTCGTGGCCCGGTGCCCGGATCCGTGCACATTGAAAGGAAATTAATTAGAAGGTGGCCATCGGGGCGGAACTGGGTGAGATGGGCTGGACACGCCTTGGAGTCAACCTCCTGCGGCCCCTCCCTAGCATCTGCAGGGTGAGCGGGGTCCCTCTGGCAGGTGGGGTCCCTCGGGAAACCAGCTCTCTGACATCCCCTGAGGGGGCCAGGAGTGTGAGAGGGCACTCTGCAAAGTTGCTGTTGTACAGGGTGTGGAATGCAAATGCAAGTCTGCAGTAAACCAGATTTGGGGACAACAGGGCCCCAGCAACAATGTAACCCTCAGCTGAAGGTGGAATCGTGTGGAATTGGGCTCCCTCCTCTCTGGTTTCGGGGTGCATCACCCAAGAACTGCTGCTGCAAAGTCACTGCAGCTTGGCAGCTCTGGTGTTGAGTGTCTGCCCTGTGGTGGTCTGTGCCCATCATAGCGACCGGTCAGATGGTAGGAGGGACACTTAGCATATTATCCTTTTATATATATATATATAGATAGCACCTGAATTGGTATTTATGGTTTTCATTTTAAGGTATCTATAATAATAAAAGCGTAATATGCTAATTAGACCGGACGGCCTTCCTGACGAAGCTGTAGCGGCAGGGGCCACTGTGGGCAGGGGCTGAGGCAGAGGCAGCTGCCGCGGCGGAGGGGGCCGAGCCCCTTGCACAAATTTCATGCATTGGGCCTCTAGTATAAGTATAAAATAAAATACATTTTTTGCTTTTAGGAATTATCCCTAATATCCCATGTGCATATTTTTCTCTTTTCTAGAATGTTTGAAGCCCACATGCAGAGCTACAAGGGCAATGACCCACTTAGTGTATGGCAAAGGTTAGCATTTAGTTTATTTATTTCCTTTAAACAAATTTTTATGTTGCCTTGAAAATTAATATTATCCACATTTTTCTAGTTATATGCAATGGATAGAAGAGAATTTTCCTGAGAACAAAGAATACTTTACAACTCTATTAGAACGTTTAATGAAGGAATTTTTAGATAACAAGAGATACCATAATGATCCAAGATTCATCAATTATTGTTTAAAGTTTGTAAGTACAGTTACAGGTATACTCAAATTCATAATCATATTATACTCTTGCTTTCCCCCCCCAGGCTTTAAGATGATTTTAGACTGTCTTAATTCCTCATGTTTTCAGTCATAAATTTTATGGTCAGAGATGTGTAATTTAGAACCTTTTGGCTTCTGTATGGTGGAGTCTGATTTAATTTTAAAACCCTCTTTCTCTGTGTATCAGGTGTATAAATGTTACAACACAAGGTAGAAACTATTCAATTAAAAGAAAGCTTTGTTGGAATTGTGTTTGGGGAAGGGTTCCTGAGAATAAATTAAATTCATTGCAAATAATTAAGAAAACCTGAGCTCTCAGAAACTAAATTTAGTACTCAAAGGATAGGCTGCCTCAGCTTATAGACTTTAAAAGACTTGGTCTATTTAATCTTAAAATAATGGCTTGGGAACATGAATTCTAGCAATAAAATCATAAGTGTAATGGCTAGAATAAACATGGATTGGTTCACTAAATTACAAAATACTAGGATAGAGTCACCCTATAGAACTTGAGCAAGCTCCGATTAAACAAAAGTAATACTTTATATAGTGAATTATTATAGAATTCACTATGTTGGGAAATAGTGTGGGTAATTATGGGGGACACTGAATGTCTAGGAAAGGAATGAGCTTCACTTTTATGTTTGTCATCAGAGAAAGAAGGGCTTTCCGCTATGCCAGTGGTTCTCAACCTTCCTAATGCCGAGACCCTTTAATACAGTTCCTCATGTTGTGGTGACCCCCAGCCGAAAAATTATTTTCATTGCTACTTCATAACTGTAATTTTGCTACTGTTATGAATCGTAATGTAAATATCTGATATGCAGGATGTATTTTCATTGTTACAAATTGAACATAATTAAAGCATAGTGATTAATCACAAAAACAATATGTAATTATATTTGTGTTTTCTGATGGTCTTAGGCGACCCCTGTGAAAGGGTCGTTCGATCCCCAAAGGGGTCTCGACCCACAGGTTGAGAACCGCTGCCCTATGCAGTACAGCCTGAAACCTCTGGTTGATTGGGCTGCTAGACCTAGACCACACGTTCCTTGTTCTCATGTCTCTTTGCTTTGGGTTTCTGTAGGCTGAGTGCAACACTGACCCTCATCAGTTTTTTGAGTTTCTGTACAACCATGGCATTGGGAAGCTGTCCTCTCCTCTGTACATAGCCTGGGCTGAGCATCTGGAGGGCCAAGGACACCTGCAACATGCCAGCGCCGTCTTCCGGAGAGGAATTCAAAACCAGGCAGAACCTAAAGAGCTGCTGCAGCAACAGTACAGGTAGTTTGAAAATGAAGCTCTGTGTGGTGTTTCCTGCTTTGAACTGTAATACAGTGGGGCCTTGACTTACGAGTGTCCCGACTAACGAGTTTTTTGAGATACCAGCTGTCTCGGCCGATTTTTTGCATTGAGTTGATAGAGTAATTTGAGTTAACGAGCTCCTTAAGGAGCTCGGTCTCGGAACGAATTAAACTCGTAAGTCAAGGCCCCACTGTATTTGCTCTGGAGATAATGTTATTGTCATCTCCTTGTTGTGGAAAATGTGGATAATAAACAAGAGTGGAAAGGAAAGAAACAGCCCAGAAATAATACTTCCAATATCTTTTCTTCTGCCCCTGTGTGTGTTTTGTGTTTGTGTATTTTAACAGTAAATTGTACTGTATGTTAGGTTGTATATATTGAGCTCTATACTGCTGTTAAGAAATTATGAACTTTTATATACTTATAAACTAGTTGATAAATCTGTCCCAGAGTTATGTCACAATTTAACTGTTGAACACTGTGATTTTTATAAAGAACAACGTAATAGCCCGGGCCAATATTTTCAGTGGTTAGAGCAGTGGTTCTCAACCTTCTGGCCCTTTAAATACAGTTCCTCATGTTGTGACCCAACCATAAAATTATTTTCATTGCTACTTCATAACTGTAATGTTGCTACTGTTATGAATCGTAATGTAAATATCTGATATGCAGGATGGTCTTAGGCGACCCCTGTGAAAGGGTCGTTCGACCGCCAAAGGGGTCGCTACCCACAGGTTGAGAACCACTGGATTAGAGCGTTGGCTCAAGCACTGAAGGCTTACGAGTTTGATTCCTGTTTAAGGGCACATACCTGGGTTGTAGGTTCAATCCCTGGTCACATCATAGCAGGTGCAGGAGGCAACCAATCTATATCTCTCCCACATCAATGTTTCCCTCTCTGTGTCTTTTTCTTCCTGTCTCCCTCCCTTCCACTTTCTAAAAATCAATGGAAAGAATATCTTCGGGTGAGAATTAACAACAACAAAAACATAATCTCTCTTCTTTTATTTTCCTCGCCCGAGGAAATGTTTCTACTGATTTGAGAGAGAGAGAGAGAAAGAAACATCGATTTGTTGCCTCTTGTTGGTGCCCCAGCTAGGGATCAAACCCACAACCTAGGTAGGTACCATGACCAGGAATTGAACCTGCAACCTTTTGGTGTATGGAACTATGTTCTAACAAACTGAGCCACCTGGCCAGGGCAAAACAATATATGTTAATGAATAATTTTGGTTTGCACAATTGTTTACTTTTTCTGTGATTACATAATATCCTTCATTTAGGGAATTTAAAAGGTATAGAAAACTAAAGAAGCAGAAGAAACTTTTTGGCATTTTAGTTGGCACTTTTCTCTGCTTTTTATAGGATTGCAGCCATGCTTTATGAACATATGCAGCTTTGCAACAAGATTTTTTCCCCTCATCATTAAAGTATCTCCTAATATATTTCCTATTTTTAGCTAGTTTCTTCTGATAGATTCTCAGAATTGACACTACTGAGTGAAAGGGTATAGGAAGAGTTTTAAGGCTTGTGATACATATCACTAGATTTCCTACTGGAAAGGTTATACCAGAGTTCTGCTGGTCCCTCTTTAGCAGCATATGAGAGTTTATCTCACTGCACCCCTTCCAGCACTTAATATGCTCATTTTTTTTTTTTTTTTTTTTTTTTTTTTTTTGTCTACTTTGTTATAGTCCTCATGCTTTTTTTTTTTTAGGGAGAGAGAGAAACATCAATTTATTGTTCCCATTTATGCATTCAATGGTTGATTCTTGTATGTGCCCTGACTGGAGATTCGACCTGCAATCTTGGCATATCGGGATGATGCCTTTAAGCTAGAAAAGACTGAGATCAAGGGAGAATGTAAAGTTGAATTTTAGAGTTGTTCCAAAATTAAAAAATTCTTGGATTATCTTCGCACCCAATATATTCACATTAGAAAATTCATCTGTTTTCATAGTTTATATCAGTATTCCTTAAACCTTCCTAATGCTGCGACCCTTTAATACAGTTCCTCGTGTTGTGGTGACCCCTAATTTCATTGTTACAAATTGAACATAATTAAAGCATAGTGATTAATCACAACAATATGTAATTATGTAATTATATGTGTGTTTTCCGATGGTCTTAGGCGACCCCCCCCAAAGGGGTCGAGACCCACAGGTTGAGAACCACTGCTCTAACCAGCTGAGAGACCTGGCCTGGGCCCCTTGTGCTCTTTTTAATAGTAATTTTGACAGTTGAACTTGTTTTTCTATGGAGAATTTAAAGCAAATGTAAGACAGCAAAATATTTTACCCCAACTACTTCCTTAAACATCTGTAAAAGTGAACCTTACACCATTTTCACTAAAAAAATTATCAATAATTCTTTATTATCTAATTTTCAGTTATTCATTGCTATGTAATTTTTCTGAACCATTGGTTTATTTGAATTAAGAGTAAAATCAGATTTGGCATCTGGTTGTCTTTGGCTATATGTCTCTTAGTCTCTTCATACTGTGCACTCTTGCTCACATCATTCAAAAATGTCAGCTCTGGATGTTGCATGTGACTTGACAAATTGGCTTGATGTTCAGAAGTGCCATAAAATGACATTTAAGTTCTCACAGCATGAACAATTCTATATCTGCCTTTATAAGTAGTAGCTTCTTCCAAACATATTCATATGTTCCAGGTATATAGAATGCTTAAAAAGAGGGTTTAAATCCCCATGTTGGAACATTGGCATAGTTGGTACACAGAGAAGAAGGGTGAATTTGCCTTATGGGTTTAAGGAATACTGATATAAACTATGAAAACAGATGAATTTTCTAATGTGAATATATTGGGTGCGAAGATAATCCAAGAATTTTTTAATTTTGGAACAACTCTAAAATTCAACTTTACATTCTCCCTTGATCTCAGTCTTTTCTAGCTTAGAATAAGGTACTTGGAATATTTAGTTTTTGCAAATATGTATTAAACTGAAGTATATTCTCTATATTGATTATTTGTGCCTTTCTACTGTCATTTAGGTTATTTCAGACACGTGTTACCAAAACCCATTTGCCAGCTCAAGGTAAAATAATGTTTTCTAAAATGTTTAAATTGTTGCTAATTTAGTCTCTGATTTGCACTGCTTATTTTCCCTACTTAAACAAATTTTTTCAATTTTATTGATTGTATTGTCTTAGGTAATGGGGAAGGTACTCTGATCATATTAAGGCCTGCTAAATAGCACTGGAGATCAGGGGCTCTGTCTTAGCACTTTAAAAGAACAAACCCACAAGAAAGACTTGACTTCATTGTATTCTTAGGGTTTCAAAAAATAAATAAAAATTGCCCTAAATTGAGGATAGTACTTAGTCTAGAGTCTGTTTTGATTTGAATCAAATGTGTTTAATGCAACTTTAAAGAAATGTAGTCATTTTCTTCCTTAGAAATAAAGATCACATTTAAGCAAAGTGTGGGCTAACTTGCCCTGTTTTTTTGTTTGTTTGTTTTTTGTTTTAATAACTACAGTTTACATTACTTTTGGATATTTCCTTGGGCATTTTGAATTGATCAGAAAATCGTTTCTACAATATTTCTCTTATCCAAAAAGTGTTTTAGTTCTACTTTGTGAGACAGTGTTGAAAGAGCTGATTTATTTTGTAATGCTTTTATTGAAAGATCAGGGGAATATGTTTGTAATAATTTTTATTATGGTTTTTACCCCTATTTCTCTTTATTTCATTATTCCCGCTGCCCCATAGCTAGAACCTCAGAACCTCTGCATAATGCTCAGATTTTAAACCAAATGATGACATCAAAATCAAATCCAGCCTGTGTTTCTAAGAATCAGGTAATAACATTTCTGTAAACTGGGAATGGTATTGAACAGTAATCTGCTGCCTTATACATTCTATGACTCTACCCTTCATGTCATCTACTTGCACCTGTGGTGACTTTCTGGCCTGTTGTCATCTACCACTGCTCACTTCCAATATTAAATTTTTAAAAAAGTTTAAATGGGAGAGAGAGGGGAACATCAATTTGTTGTTTCACTTATTTATGCATTTATTGGTTGATTCTTGTATGTACCCTAACTGTAGATTGAACCCGCAATCCTGGTGTATCAGGATGATGCTCTAACAAACTGAGCTACCTGGCCAGGGCTCCAATATTAAATTTAAATAACTTAGTAACTGACCAGACCGTCTTACATTTATCTGACTTAGGCACCCCCACCATACAACCTCCTATGTCCATATGCTGAGAAGCTCCCCAGCAGCTTCTTTATTTCATTCTGCTGGCCTTCTCAGGCCCAGGAACCCCTACCCTGGACCACATCCACCTGGAGGCTCCTGAGCCCTGCTATAAACACTGAGCCCTGGCTGGTGTGGCTCCATCTGGTTGGAGTGTTGTCATGAGCAATGGAAGGTCTCAGGTTCTGTTCCTGTTCAGGGCACCTATCTAGGTTGTGGGTTTAATCCCTGGGCAGAGTGTATATGGGGCAACTGATCAGTGTATCTCTCTCATGTAGATGTTTCTCTCTCTTTTTCACTCTTACTCTCCCTCTCTTTTCCTTCCTCCCTCTCTAAAATCAATTTAAATAAAACCACCTCAGCTTCAGGCCCTGGCTGGTTAGCTCAGTTGGTTACAGTATCTTCCCAGTATGTCAAGGTTATGGTTCGATCTCTGGTCAGACCACATAGAAGAATCAACCAATGGATGCATAAATAAGTGGAACAACAAATTGATGTTTCTCTCCTTCCCCACCCCCTCTCTAAAATCAGTGAATAAATTTTTTTTTAAAAAAACCTCAGCTTTAAACGTTGGTATCCATAACATCAAAGCCTGGCTCTACTACTTCAGGCAGTTATATTTCCAGTTTCTCAAGCACTCTTTATGTTTTATGTATCTCTTAATTTATGTATATCTTGTTTCCCGTTTCACTCTCTAATACCAGATTATAGTGAATTTAAACTCCTTTTTACACTTTTCAAATATGGAACTTGGGACATGACTCTAACCTCTCTCTCAGGAGCTGGCAAAAATACTGTTTCATTGACAACAGCAGAAACCATCAGATGACATCTATAAATTTTCTGCCATCAACCCATAAATGTAACTGTACCCTTCCCTGCCATCTCGATGGAAAAAGGCAGCTTTTCACCTGAGCTTGTCTTTACTCCTTAAGATTTTTGCCCTGTCAAGATCTCTTCTGCCCTAAAGGCTCATTGATGTGTAAAATGCTCATCTTTCCTTCGCTCAGTCTTCTTTCCAGCATCTTTCCTGGCACAACTGCTTTTTCAAAGTTTTCTGGGACCTCCTTTTAAGCTAAATCCAATGGCTCTGATCTTATCTGACATGGGCATGTTTTCTTACTGTAACACATTTCTAGAAGTAGAATATGAATTTCTAATTTTGATAGATACTCACACTTCCAATTTACATCCTACACATTCATGCCAGCCTCCTTGCTGCTTTCTGTTGCCCAGACTGAGTTTTTAGACAGTAGTGATGGGTCTTGTTTATGGTCACATTCCCAGGACCTAGCTCAGGACAGGACATGTATGAGATATTCAGTAAATAGTTGTAGTGACAGATACTAGCATTGGGAACTCCTAAGGGTAGAATAGTACCAGAAGAAAATCTTAATGATTAAAAACGTGGCATTTGCATTGTTAATCCTATAACACTTAGGCACTGTGGCCCAGCTCCTAGACTGGATTGAAGGGAATAAGTGCCTGCCCTACTCTACTACCAAGTAGGGAATTCTTAAATCACTTTCTATTGGACTTTTTAGTTGTAGAAGTTACAACTAATAATGCAAACTCAAGTTTCAGATATTAATTATAATTTAAAAGAACATAAATAAATCTATGTGATGATGGAGAGGCCCTGTGAGCATATTCATATTGTTTTGTGAAATAATTTGTGTGATGGTTTCTTTTTAGGTATGTGAGTATTTTTTTGTTGTTGTTGTTATTGTTTATTTTGTCTTTTTAGGGTTCAGAAGTTTCTAAAGTAACATCTTCAGCTTGTGATAAAGAGTCGAATATGTAAGTACATTAATTTATTCCTTAGTTCTCATCAAGAGCTGCTTTTGTACAGTGTTGTAAATAATGTCTTTTTTCCCATTATAGGGAACAAAGGGTGGTCGTGATTTCTAAATCAGAATACTCTGGACATCCCTCTCTGACAGCCAAAACTGACATTCAGCAGGTTGTTATGTACTGCAAGGAGAAGCTCATTTGTGGAGAGTCAGAATTCTCCTTTGAAGAGCTGAGAGCCCACAAGTACAATCAACGGAGAAAGCATGAGCAGTGGGGTACAGCAGTCTTATTTGAGTTATTTTTATATTACTAAAATAATTTTCACTTCCAAGTTACTAACATTTTTAAACAGATAATTGACGTGGTAAAAGAATCTGCAAAGTCTCCAGCTCATCCTTTAAAAAGCCTAGACATCTTTGTTCATTGTTATTGTGGCAGCCTTGTTGTCAAAGGGATTGGAGATGAAACAGTGCTAAAATAGATATCCACACCAGTGTTGCTTTAGCTTTTAGGAAATAGGTATTTTAAGACTTGTAAACATTACCTGTAAAGGTGAACTTTTATATATAGCAACTCTAAATCACTGGGTCAGTTATTTGTACTGTCAAAGGATTAAGTAGGAATTGGAGTTAAGATTTTTTCAAGATCTGCAATTAATACAAATAAGACATTTAGAAGGAATCCTCTGATAAAGTGCTATGTTACTTATGGCTATGGAGGCGGCCAAGGTTTTCTCACAGGGAAAACTGAATGTTAACACCAATATTTGTACTCTTTTTTTTTTTTTTCTGTAATCATATAGACCTCAGAGGAAAATGAGCCTTTGTTCCACTCAGGACTTATACCATCTCAGTTATTTGTACTATAGTCACCCTGTTAGCCTTCCTGTTTTGTTTCTTATTTCTCATTCATTGGCACCTGAAAGAATAGTCATTTCACACTCATGGAGGACCCATTTTGTGCCATGCACAGATGCATTTTTCTTTCACATGTTGTGACCTGAAGTCTTAGCCAGGTGATTTGATTTGTATGACATGGTTGTGTAACCCAGTCATTGTAAGTGGGACTATCTGCAATATATTTGACATACTGACCCTTCAGAGAGCTTTAGTTTTATTTCTTCTTAGACTTAAATCTTTTAAAAACTATTCCATTTTCACATGATTTCCACAGTCATGTTTGTTTTAGAAGTATTTAGTATCATACTGTGTTATTACCAAATATTGTTGGTCAACATGTAACTTTTTGTAATTTACATGCCCTGATCATAAAAGTAACCATGCTGATGGTAGATAAAAATGATAATTAAACGGTGAATTCTATCAAACTACACTGGTGGATATTACCAAACATTCACAGAGCAGTTAATACCAAATCTTCTCAAGCTCTTCCAAAAAATAGGAGAGGGAACACTTCCAAACTCATATTATTATAAGGCCAGCTTGATTCTAATACCAAAACCAGACAAGAACACCACAAAAAAAGAGTATCAGGACAATTTTCCTGATGAACATAGATACAAAAATCCTCAACAAAATACTAGCAAACTGAATACATTAAAAGGCCATACACCCGGATCAGGTGGGATTTATTCCAGTAGTGCAGGGATGGTTCAAAATCTACAAATCATTGAACATGACACATCACTAAACAAAATCAAGGATAAAATCATTGATCAATATCAATAGATCCAGAAAAATCATTTGATGAAATTCAACATCTATTTATGATAAAAACTTTTAGCTAAGTGAGTATAAAGGGAATGTACCTCACTGTAATAAGCCCCAGTACTAACCCCAAATTTAGTGGTGAAAGCTGAAAGTTTTTCCTTTAAGATCAGGAACAAGACAAAGATGCACACTTTCACCATTCTTATTCAATATGGTGTTGGAAGTCCTACACAGAGCAATTACACATGAAAAACAAAAGGCATCCAAATTGGAAAGGAAGAAGTAAAACTTCACTATTTGCAGATAGCATGATATGTGTATAGAAAAACATCAAAGAAGTGTTAGAATTAATTTAAAACATCTGTAAAGTTACAAGATACATAGTATACAAAACACTGCAAAATGAAAACACCCAAAAAGATATTTGCACCCCCATGTTTATTGCAGCATTATTTCTAATACCCAAGATAAGGGTCCATTAATGCAAGAATGGATAAAGAAATTATGATTGATACATCTACATACATACACACATTACACACCCTGGTATATTACTCAGCTGTGAAAAATAATGTAATCTTGCCATTTGTAAAACATGGCTGGACCTTGAGGGCATTATGCTAAGTGAAATAAGTCAGGGAAAGATAAAACTGTATGATATCACTTCTATTTGGAATTAAAAAACTCATAAATACAAACAGGTTAGTGGTTGTCAGGGGTTAGGGTGAAAGGAATAAAGGGGGTGAAATGGTACAAACTTCCAGTTATAAAATAAATAGGTCATGGGGTATAATGTATAGCATGGAGACTATAGTTAATAAACTTGCATGTTTATAAGTTGCTAAGAGAGTAGATCTTAAAAGTCCTAATCATAAGGAAAAAACATTTTTTGTAACCATGTAAGGTGACAGATGTTAACTACTAACTACCTTGTGATCAAATATAGAATCATATTGTACCCCAGGAAACTAATAGTTATATGTCAATTATACCTTAATTTAAATAAATAGCTGGCAAAATAAATGTAATACATGTTTTAGTTCTGATAACCTAATACATATGGAAAAGACTAGTAAATTGCAATCCTATGGCCTACATTTAAACTTTGCATTCAAACCATTTATCTTTTCTAAAGTAAATGAAGACAGACATTACATGAAAATGAAAGAAGCAAATGCTTTTGAAGAACAACTACTGAAAGAGAAAATGGATGAACTTCATAAGAAGTTGCATCAAGTGGTAGAGACATCCCAGGAGCACCTTCCTGCTTTTCAGGAAAGTCCTGAGGTATGTGTGCTCTTTACTGATGCTTGCCATGCCATTGATTTTCTTTTTATTTGCTCCTTTTTGGCCCTATTTTTAGTTAATTCTGATGTTAAATATACACGTACATGTTTATATATTTCTGTACAGTGTGGGGCAAAAGTATGCTATATGGAAAATAATATAATAGTTAATAAATAATAATACAAGAATAAACTCTGCATTTTGAGTATTCACAACTGTAAACTTACTTTTGCCACACCCTGTATTTATATATTTATGATTCTATTGGAATCATTTGTTTTTTCTTATTTATTTGAATTTCCTTTTTTGCATAATTTTTTTCCCAGGATAGTTCCAAGAAATTGTTAAAATAATTATCTTGGGCCTTTTTTTTTTTTTTTTGCTATATTTTCTTGGTACTTACCAGTTCTATATCCCCACTCTCTCTAAAGAAACTGTTTAATTATGTTCCAATGTTCATTGTGTTCAAATGCATCAGATATATTTTTAGTTTCACTTTTCTCGGCCACATATCCCCCATAGCCTTCTGTCTTGGTCCTCTAGGTTGGCTGAGGGCAGCTGTCCTTCCCTTGCTCCTCTCCTATGTTGTATCCCTGTTTTCTTATTCCCTTGTCACTCTTGCTCCTTAACATCTATCTCCATTTTGGTGGCACATAGTCTCCAAGAGCTTTTTGTAGAAAAGCATATCTGAAGGTTAATTTTTTGAGATCTCACACACATGAAAGACCTTTATTCTACCCTCACACTTGGGTGATAATTTGGTTGCGCATGATGTCCTGGAAAGTAAGTCATCACATTTTCTCATCCTTGAAGGCACTGTACCCCTGTTGAGAAATCAGCTGAGAGTTATGGGAGCTCCCTTGTAGATAACTGCTTTTCGTTGTCTGCTTTTAGGATTCTCTCTTTTGGCTTTAACTTCTGGCATTTTGATTATAATGTGTTTTGGTGTGAGCATCTTTGGGTTCATCTTGATTGGGACTCTGTACTTCTTGGACTTGTATGTCTCTTTCCTTCACCAGGTTTGGGAAGTGTTCCATCATTACTTTTTCAAATAGGTTTTCAACCTTTTGTTCTCTCTCTCTCTCTCTCTCCCCCCCCCCCCCCCCCCCCCCTCCTTCTGGTACTTCTATGATGCAAATGTTGGTACACTTGGTACTGTCCCAGAAATCCCTTAAACTATCTTCAATTTAATTTTTTTTCTTTTTTACTGTTTAAATTGTGTTTTATACTACCTTGTCTTCCAAATTGCTGATTTGATCCCTTTCTTCATCTAATCTGCTGTTGATTCCATCTAATGTATGCTTCATTTTAGTTATTCTTCATTTCTGCCTGGTTCATTTTATGTTTTCTATCTCCATTTCATGTTTCCTGTCTCTGTTGATGTTCTCACTGAGATCATCTGTTCTTCTCCTAAGTTCATTGAGCACCATTATAACCAGTGTTTTGAACTCTGAATCTGATAGATTGCTTGCTTCCATTTTATTTAGTTCTTTTTTCAGAGTTTTGTCCTATTCTTTCATTTGGGACATGTTTCTTTGTCTCCTCATTTTGGCTACCTCCCTGTTTGTTCCCATGTAGTAGATATATCTGTTATGTCTTTTTTTAAAAAAATATATTTTTATTGATTTCAGGAGAAGGGAGTGGGGGAGAGAGATAGGGACACCAATGATGAGAGAAAATCATTGGTCAGCTACCACACTGGGACCTAACCCACAACCTGGGCATGTGCCCTGACCGGGAATCGAACCATGACCTCCTGATTCATAGGTTGATGTTCAACCATTCAGCCACACCAGCCAGGCTATCTGTTATGCCTTTAAGTCTTAGCAGGGTGGCCCTATGTAGTAGGGATTCTGTGGGGCCCACTGGCACAGTCTCCCTGTTCACTTGAGTCGGATGCTCCAGGGTTGTCCCTGTGTGAGATTTGTGTGCCCTCTTGTAACTGAGTATGTTGGCACATCAGTGGGAAGGACTGATCCTCAGGCTGACTGGCTGTGAGGACTGGCCATGATACTACAGTGGACAAGCTGTTCTGCAGGGGCTGACCCCAGGGAGCAGGCTTTGCTTTGGCATGGCTCTGGTGCCTGTCAGTCCACCCTTTGGGTGTGTCATTTGTGATGCTGATTGGGCGGTGGTCTAGTGTGGTCTGAAGCCGGCCACCAGGTGTGTTTGTTTTGGAGCTTCTTGGGAGTGTCTTCAGTACAGGCCAAGGTCAGCTACTGCCTGTGTCCATCCCAGGGCCACCTGCTAAGAGCTACAAAGTAATCATCAATTGGTAGTTGTCTTTGCTGGGGATAGAGGCACTTGGGAGAGATTATGCTGTGAACCCAGGCCACTACCACTAGTGCCAGACTGGGGGCCAATTAGCAAGAGGAACAGGGCAATTGGAGGCCACAAGAGGTTCAGTCAGTGTGCGGGTCTAGTGGGGCAAGGCTTAGAGAATTACCAGGGTGGGGCAAGAGTTGTGTTAGCCAGGTTAATGGATAGCTCTATAGTGGAACCTCAGTTGTCCAACTCAATTCATTCCAGAAGGCTGTTCGAGAACCGATTTGTTAGAAAACCAAATCATTTTTTTTCCATTAGAAATAATGTAAATTGTAATAATCCATTCTAGACCCCCAAATGATTACCTGTTTTAACCTTTCTTTTATATAGTACATGTCTAATATACTATTTAATTTGTAAATAAACACTTTTTTTTCTTAAATTTATCAAATCACCCCCTATTAGCCTTAAATCACTTTCAGCACTCATTCCAGGGGAGTCTTTTCATATCAGCGTGGGGCATCTTTGCTTGTTCCTATATCATTGCCTTTGAAATGCTGTTATTGGCTAACCGACTGCTTTTCTTTATCCAAATCAACAACAGTTTTTCTACCTCTTTAATTGTCTGTGATCATTATTTCTTTCACATCCTTAGCAACATTAGCACTCTTGATGGCCTCTTTATGTTTTACAATTGTGCTAATCCTTGATTTCCCCAGCAACAAAAACATTCTCTCCTTTGTTGCCTGAGAGAAACCTTTTTTAAAGCTGAGGTATCAGCTTGAAGGGGTTGTGAATTCAAAAACCAAAGTTTGGTTTGACAACCGAGACATTTTTCGGTGAACAACTTGGTCAAGAACCAAATTGTTTGAGATAGAAGACATTTGAGAAATGAGGTTTGACTGTATATGGACCTCACCTGTGCCATCTGTAGGCTGTGGGGGGTGTGGGGCAATAAAAGGAACGATGGCTCCTGCTAGCACTTCTTTCTGGGATATAGCTGCCCCTCTAGGCCTCACCGTGAGCCTTACAATTCAGATCCTCCAAGTATGTCCCTGGAACTTTTCAAGCTGCTGTCCCTTCTCTGAAGTTTATACTCAGACCCTCTAAGACAGCGGTTCTCAACCTGTGGGTCGCGACCCCTTTGGGGGTCGAATGACCCTTTCACAGGGGTCGCCTAAGACCATCAGAAAACACATATATAATTACATATTGTTTTTGTGATTAATCACTATGCTTTAATTATGTTCAACTTGTAACAAGGAAATTAGGGGTCACCACAACATGAGGAACTGTATTAAAGGGTCGTAGGAAGGTTGAGAACCACTGCTCTAAGAGGATGCCTGGGAGTATAGCAGCCCTCTGTCTCACCCAGACAGAATCTTATGATTTTTTACTTCCTGGCACAGTGCTCTTGGATGAGGAGCCTGGTGTGGTGCAGGTCTAGTGTGGTCTGAAGCCGGCCACCAGGTGTGTTTGTTTTGGAGCTTCTTGGGAGTGTCTTCACACCTCAGGGAGGACTTCTGCAGCTGAGATATTGCTCTGATTCTTAACTGCCACATGTGAATTTGGAACCAGACTGCCTGTGTCTCTCTGCCCCTCCTACCTGTCTCAGCATGGTTTCTTTATATCCTTAGTTATAAGACTTCTATTCACCTAGTCCTCAGGTGGTTCTTTAGGGTGGTTCTACAATTTAGTTCTAATTTTGATGTGGTCATGGGAGTAGGCCAAAACACCATTTACTTATTCTGCCATCTAGACCAGAAGCTGTGAGTATGAACATTTTATATTTTGTCCTTTTGTCTGTGAAATAACTACTTTTGCCCTAGCTATTTGGTGTTAATAATTTGTAAAAATACTTTTGTGTGGTGAAGAATTCACTCTTCTGTCTTTTAATTTGGTAACAAAAGAGTGTACAGTTACACTCTACATTGAATAGGAAAACAAAGATTTTAAATGAAAAGCTTGTTGTCCATCTTGTGTAAGCCATGCTTGTTTGTGTGGCAGTTATAATTGTAGTTTATACTCAGGTTTCCTATTCATTAAAGAGAAAATAGCTACCAAAGGTAACATTTTGATGGAAGGAACATTATTATGAGTATTTGATAAATTGACTTGGTCTTTTCCCAAAATTAAGTGAAGAGAAATAAGACAGTTCTTAAATACTAATAAAACTAGATGGGGCGTTATTTCAGTGGTTTGAAGTTTGAACTGCCAGTTGTGTCTATGGTTAAACTACAAAACCATCCGTCATGTAGAATGGTCCTTTGTGTTTTTGTCAACTGTTCATTTCAGAATACTTCAAGGAGAAAGGAATCTACTGAAGACAGATGCCAGTGTTTGAAAAGCTGTAACACCTAATTACTAAGATTCTGGACTTCATGGTTTTGCTTTTGTTTGTTTAACATGACAGGTTAATCCAGCATGCGTGGGGCCAAGTGTCGACTCCCAGCAGGAACTGAGCACTCCATCTCTGCCAACCATAACTCAGCAAACCTCAGAGGACATGGGAGAGAAACCCAGACAGGCACCTGCTGCTGTTCCTCCTGAAGCCAATTCGGTCACTGTGGCTTTGGTGTCCCCAGCCATCAGCCAGAGTGCAGCTCCTCCTGCTCCTTTGGCAGGCCAGCCAGGGACAGACTCCATGTTTTCAGTGGCCGGAAATGATGCCAGGTGAGCCAAAGTTGGTCCAGTGATGACAGTGCTGTGAATGGTGTCTGTCAGTTTCTTACATAGTTTACAAAATCAGGAGCAAGATGTAAAAGACAGCTAGTTCCTGTTTTTAAACCAAGGTCCCAAAACTTCAGCCCCAAATCTTACAGATTTACCTTCTTTCATACTTCTTTTAGAGTATGTGTTTTACTTCATACTGCTCTCTTGAGTTAAACATTTTCACTACACTGAAACTCAACGATCTTTTTATAACAGAAGAATATACATCTGTTAAACTGAAACTACCTTTGCTTACTAGCTTTTACTGAATACACAAACAGTTTCTTAACATATGTACTTCTCATCTTCCTTCTGTCTTCCCACCAGGAGTGGTTTGAGATTAATATCCATTACACAATATCTATATACTGCTAAAGATGTATCCCCAATTTTGAGGGATTTTCCTAGATTTCTAAAATAGAGTGTCATATCACTTGTTTTGTTTACATTTTTTCTTCAGTTTCTCTCTTTCAACATATAACAATTTTATTGATCCATTAGAAAAAAATAAAAGCTACAATTAATCTCACATTCTCCCTTTGGGCTAAACCCCTTAACACATACTATGGTTCTTAAGTACTGTTTTCCCTTAATGTCTGCAGTTAACTTTTGTCAATGATTTCCCCTGGAAATAAGATTTTAAATCATCATGCTTTTTCACTCACATTAAGATAATAATTCAGACCTGGTTACTCTACCATATATGTAAGAAGAGGACTGTTGGTGGGAGTCATGATTCCATTAGGTCTTCATAGTTAATTTATGCACCTATAGAATGATAAGAGCAGCAGCAGTGACATGCCTTGTAAAAGTGATGCCTGACCAGTCGCCCCTATCAAGATGATAAAATTAAAAGTGCTGTACTTTTTACTTTATATCTTAACAAGGTTTATTAAGAAAATTTTAGCAGTGTTAAATGGATGAAGTCCACTATCACAACTATACTTAAAACAAACTGATATAAGTGTCTTTTGTGCCGTTTTTTCTTTCTTAATAACCATTAAAATCTGGAGAACAATGTACTGTGTCAACTGGCTCATGACGAGTGGTGGCCATGCAGCTAAAGCTCAGCAGTGCTTTTCCTCACCATGACTCAGGAGAGCTGTGTGTTAGCCCTTTAGCTTATGTGATGAATGGGAACATTTGAATTAGGGAGCCATTATCTTGCAATACCACATAAAGGAATTATTAGCATGCTATTAAAATACATAATCACTGTGTCAGGCAAACATTAATACCTGGCTTATAATTGTAAGAATTCTTTTCCTCAAAAGGAAATGGAAAAAATAAAACAAACATTTCATTTACTTATACTGTAGGACCTAAGCAGTTCTATCCTTTTTTTTTTTACCAGTAGGTTTGTAATTGCTGACCTTTTTTTACTATTCTTTCTTGAGAGTTAGTGTGTCTCAAGCGTTTTCTCTTCCAGATGTGTGACTAGAACTACTCAGGAATTCAAGCCACAGAGCAGAGCAGAGATGAAAGAAGGTAATATGTAGTTACAATACATTTGCTTCTGACCTGTTTCCCAGACGTCTCCAGGTCACACAGAGGTCTGTGTGGTGGCTGTGGTTCATGAAGGCTTCAGACCTTAATGAAGCTGGTGTTAGCTTTCCTATTAGAATATAGGGGTAAGATGAGCTCTGGACCATTTCAAATAGAGGTAGAAACCTACTTGTTAGTCACATCTTACTAGTTAGAATCTTTTGGAAACTTGATTTGTGAAAACCTTACTGTTAAATTTCTCAAGTTCATCTAAAACAAGAGTCAACTTTAATATGTCATGAGGTAGGAAGTCAACTTTAATATGTCATGAGGTAGGAAATGTGATTAAAGGTTTAATTAGGGGTGTTATAGTTCTATTTGGTACTACTTTGTTAGAGGCATTTGCACTGAAGTTATGTAAGTTTTATGGTATAAGTAAAATAAGACACATAGCTTGGAAGTTCACTCCCCCCTCCCCCCCATGTGACTGTGACATCCTTTCCAATGACAGTTCTGTGGGAGCAGAGCTACTCAAAAACAGCTGGAGACCCCTGTATTGAACCCAGACCTCCTGAGCACTCTCTTGGGGCCTGGCACTATTGTAGGGAGTTAGGGGTGTAGCCATGAACAGAAAGGACAAAACCCACCTATGTGGAGGGGAAAGGAAGTATTGCTATTGGAGAGGTGGATTGAAACTATAGAAGTGACCCGGGAAGACATCCAAAAAGAAAGTAATATTTAGGGGTCAAAGCCTGGAAGAGGGGACTGCTCATGTGGCTAGCTTAGAAAACCTGTTTCAGGCCCATGCAGAATGACCCTCAGGTGGGAATGTCACTGATGTATCTAAGCACCCCAGAGAGGCAGGGGGGGGCGGGGGTGGGGTTGGAATGAGCAGAGGAGGAGGAAGAGAGTGAGATCTGGGCCTTAATAAGATAAGATATTATTAATAAGATAAAAAATGAAAGTACATTAGTAATGGAAATCCTTATTGATAATTATCAACAATAATAAATGTTTTAATTGTAATAAGTTTCTTATATTGTATACCTTTTAAATAATTCTGATTTCCCTACTGATAATGCATCTTGTCCCCATTCCTTTAATAGGGTGTGAAACACATAAGGTTGTTAACACAAGTTCTTTTCATACAACTCCAAACACATCCCTGGGAATGGTTCAGGCAACACCATCCAAAGTGCAGCCATCACCCACCGTGCACACAAAAGAAGCATTAGGTAAAGCCTTTGGTTGGAATGTGTAGCCTCTGACAGCAGATTAATGAAAGGTTTTTGCAGCTTTGTTTACAGTTACTCTTTCTACTCCTTTAAGGGTTCATCATGAATATGTTCCAGGCTCCTACACTTCCTGATGTTTCTGATGACAAAGATGAATGGCCATCTCTAGATCAAAATGAAGATGCATTTGAAGCTCAGTTTCAAAGTAATAATTTGTTTAAAACTGCTAAGTACATAGCATTGTCGATGACTGTCATAGGAATATTAAGGATTATACAAGAAGTGGCCCTACCCTTTTAGCTTGCCACATAAGGGCAGGGAATGTGTGAAATTAAAAAATCCGAGAATCTTCTACAAGGTACTTAATGTGTGTCATAGATCAGATTTGTTTCTAAAATAATAATAGTGCCAAAGAAGGACAAGATCCCCATGGGTAGAAATGGCTACAAAGGGCTGAGTATTTGAAGTCTGACTCGAGTCTTGCCTGGTAGTAGAATGGCAGGGGTGGAGTGCTGGAGGCCAGCAACTATTTTACATTTGTCTGGAATCGGGATTCCTGCTGGAAGCCAGGAAGAGATCATGATAAACTAAATACGCCCTGGCCGATATGGCTTGGTTGGAGCATCGTCCTATGCACCAAAGGTCAGGTCACACAGCCAGGTTGTGGATTTGATCCCTGATTGGGGCGTATGTGGGAGGTAGCCAATCAATGTTTCTCTCTTTCTGTGTCTTCCTCGCTCCCTCTCTCTATCTTCCCTTTCTCTCTTTAACATCAATTTAAAAAAAAAACACACAATACTAAGATCCTGTTAGATTCAGGAAGATCTGAAATATAAAGCTACAATGGTTAATTCTTAAACAAAATGGAAAACAAAGCCACTGAGAGCATTGTTAAGTGAGTCAGGTGACAATAACAATGATTTAGGAGAATGATGAACACCATGTTTTTATATGTGGCAAGAACTTGAATGCGAACCCCTGTGACCATAATTAAGTTACTGTATCTCAATACATAGTGACTTATCGCATTACCTAGTATTTGAAAAGCTGCTATCACTTCTTTTCTGTTAGCTATTATTCCATTTTCTTATTTATAGTTGAAGTTTAGTATAAAGAAGAATTTTTATCTCCCCAATGCAATAATTAAATGCTGTTTTTTTCTATTGCAGAAAAGGCAAGATCTTCTGGAACTTGGGGAGTCAATAAGATTATCTCTTCTTTGTCATCTGCTTTTTCCGTGTTTGAAGATGGAAACAAAGAAAATTATGGGTAAGGAAACACCTAGTTAAAATCTCCTTGTAGGAGATTCCTCTGTGTCTCAAGGCAGTGAAGTGGCAATAGAGTGATCTGCCAATCAAGTGATCTGCATTATAGTCCCCGCTCGCCACTGATGATCTTTCTGACCCGATGACCAAATTATTGCTAACCTTCCCCATATCCTCAGTGCTATACAGGACTCAAAAGAAAGCAGACCTTCTGCAATAAAAGCTTATAGTAGTAAATTATCAGAGAACTGAAGGATTCTGTGCATTTGAACTTTTATTGGATGTGAATGAATTCACCAATCCTGATATCTGTACATACTCTGTTTATATTTGCAGGATTGATCAGGTAGAAAAGGAGATGGCTTATTCAGGTTCATACTGCAGAGATAATATGTTTGAAGGCCAAGAGAAATTACATTAGAGAGGGTAACTTCAGGAATTTTCACTATTAATAGTTTAAACCGTGGAAAGAGAAGTGTCAGTGTGAATTAAAGATATCACAATATGGACGTGATTTATACTGTGGCAAAAAGGAGAAAGGGCCTGACCAGTTCTCAGAGAGAAATCCCTGAGCACTGGAAATAAATCAAATGCATGGCATTCCTGACCTGTGGCCACACCACTAACTGTTTCTAAAACTTATAGCTCGGTGTAATAGAAACTTCTGTATTTTCCACCCTCGCTGAAGTAACTAGTTCTACTCTTATCTACACAGTCACATTAATTCAGTTTGTACTCAGTTTTGCTACAACTATTGCAAAAGTAAGGAATATATATGTAAATACTAAGTAGTTAAATAGGATAACTGGAGAGTGTTTCTAACACTCAGGTAGTAGCATTTATTTCCTTGGCATGTTTTATTATTTATAATTTTACAAATCTTTTCTTAGATTACCACAACCTATAAACAAACCCACAGGAGCCAGGGCTTTTGGAGAACGCTCTATAAGCAGAGTTTCTCCAAGACCAAAGGTAAGTAATGTCTGCTCATCTGTGAAATGGTCTGACCACTCTTCCCTTTTTGTTTTACCAAATAGTTGTGACTGATAAATTAGATAGTTTATGTAAAACTGCTGAAAAATTATATGTCATATGAAGAGTGCGATTTTGGGGTACATTATTCTACAATTATTTGAGTATCTAGTATGTGCCAGACACTGTGATAGGTATAGAAACTGAAAAAGAATCTGGTGTGATCCTTGCCCTCAAAGATCCTGCCCTCTATAAAGGAGGACAGGGGTGAAGGGTGGAGTAGAGAAATACACATGTTTCCTAGACCTGGGAAGTGAGGCCTACAAGTGGGCTGTTAGCAAAAGCTAAATTGGAATGATCCTTCGTCGGGCATGGCAGCAGACAGGTGTCACCTGTTTGTTGGCCCAAAGCATTTCTCTATTACAGCAGCTCTGTGTCCAGTCCACACTGAGCTTCCACTTCAGCCCTGAGTATTACCAAGCTGTACTTCTCATCATTTACCCCAGGCTGCCCTCTGTTGTGATGTGTCAGAGAGGTGCTAAGAAGCTCTGCTAAACCCTGTGTCGTGGTGTTCATCCAATAGTGGATTCTTTTGAATAAATTATCACCCAGCTCTCTAATGCTTCTGGTGGATTTTTTGACCTTAACACTTTCCCAAATAATGGGCTAAACTTCAAATATAGTAGCATTATCTCAGAGGCACATTTTAGTGAACTATTCAACTACGTGTGCTTTGACTAAAAAACCCACAATAAGTTATCCATACATTCTGGCCCTAAGCATAGGCCGATTGCTTTATCCTGTGTTCACCTGAAAAAAAACAATCAGCCAGCTATTCCTGCCATGTTGGAAGAGACATGGTGGGATTTATGAAGACCACAGTATATATAAAAACCAGGGTGGCATTTTTATGGGCAACTAAAGAACTATGGTCAAGTGTGATTCTGACTTAGCAGTTTCTGCCTTTGTCATAGACTCTAAAATTGACCTTTGTGTTCTTGGAGAAATAGCCGATTCTAGGGCTGGGGCTAGAAAAATATAAACAAGCCTAGAATACTGGTATCTTACAGTGCCAGAAAGTAAGGAAGTGCTTAAAAAGAAGATGGAACACAGAAAAAGGACACAGGAGCCAACCTGAGCAGCCAATGGCCAAACCTGGGACAACATAAGCAAGAAAATAAGTAGAATAGGGTAGTATTAAATTCTAACCCAAGAAATAAAATAAATATTCATATTGCTATAAATAAAATGGCAGAGAAAGAACAAAGCATCCCATAGAAGAACTCCAAGTCAGGTAGAAGGAATGAGTGACTATAGAAAATGGCTGGCTGTCAGTCACAGTGATAATAATTGCTTCAGGCAAGATCCACAGGTGAATATTAAAATTAGCTAGTGAAACTTTAAGAGGAAAACAGGATATTTGTATAGCCTCAAAGTATCTTACCCAAATTATTAATTACTGTGGTGGTTTTAGCCTTTGTTCACAAATTCTTTGATGTTCCTCTATCCAGGAGGTGGAGCTTAGTTTACCTTCTTTTGAATGTAGGCTGGACTTAGTAACTTGCTTCTAACAAGCAGAGTAGGGAAAGTGGCTGTGTGTTAGCCAGAATTGCACCTGTTTCCTCTTTCATTCCTCATTTTTCTGAGTCTTCAAAAGCATTAATGTGTTAAATTTCATGGATGACACAGGGAGATGGTTGATTTTTTTCAGTTCAACTTTTGTTGCAGGAAATACCTCATGCTGAAGAGTTTTGGGATGACTCGACAGTATGGGGCGTCCGCTGCACCAAGACGCTGGCACCCAGTCCTAAGAGCCCAGGAGACTTTACATCTGCTGCACAGCTTGCATCTACTCCTTTCCACAAACTTCCGGTGGACTCAGCACACGCTCTGGAAGATAAAGGTTGTGTAACAATACTTGTATAGGATATAGGTTTATTTTATGTTTTAGAACAAACAGAAAGGCCACTACAGACAGATTAAATAAAAAAGAATGAACATTTATATTTTATTAATTTGATAAGAGTAACAAATAGTAATTTTTAATTCTTGATATTTGTCTACAGATCTCATTACTTTAGAGGCATAGCCAAGTACTAAGAAAATGTTATTTATTTTTAAATATGTTTTTATTGATATTTAGAGAGAGAGGAAGGGAAAGGAATAGAAATAGAAATATCCATGAGAAAGAAACATTAAACGGCTGCCTCCTGCATGCCCCTCTACTGTGTATTAAGCCTACAACTCGAGCATATGCCCTGACTAGAAATTGAACCAGTAACCTCTTGGTTCATGGGCTGACACTCAACCACTAAGTCACACCGCCATGCAGAAAATTTTATTTTTTAGTGATCTGATTTAGTGAGAGTAATGAGAAAACTTAAATAGTCCTTATTTCCCCCAAATGTAATACTTCCTATATCAAGATCTTTGTATATCTGAATTGTACCTTAATATATAACATTTTCATTGAGCACAGTTATTACTTATTAACTGCTGACCTACAAAATATATATGCAATGAGATCTGAAACTACTTTACCTTTTGGAAGACTACTGAATTACTAACCAACTCTTGTCATTGCTGGCACTTTTTTAAAAAAAAGCAATTGTTCACTGAAGCATGCCAGTAAAAGAATTGCCAAGGAATTTCACTCCCCTAGATGGAAGCATATTTGAGCCTGTGGACTTAAAAATGTTTAACTAAAGGGATAAAACTTTTTTGTCGAGTATTAACCCAACATGGTATATTTCTTTTCTGAATTTTAAAGAGAAGGTCAGCTGAAACCTGAAAAATTGCTAAGTATTACCACAAGTTTGCCACTTTAATAAAAAATGTTTTAAAAGTTTTTTTCCCCCTCAAGAAAACTAGCTTAATCAGTTAAGAGCCTTTCAGAACAGTCAAAAATTGGCTACAATTATAGTATTTGCCACTTTGGTTCTATAAATAGGAGCTGATGTTCTAGTTTTAAAAATATTAGCACCTATTTGGTGAGGCAATATCTGATAAAATTTAATCCAGTGTAATATTTGGCTGTATATAGTACTAACATCACTTGGTAGAAGTTTATTCTGTATTTCTGCCCTATCTAGTCTGTTAATAGATGTGTGGGGTTTTTTTAGTTAAAAGGAGTGGCAACTGTTGCCAGGGAGCTTTCTGATGTAAACATACTATATCATTCAATCAACTAAAACAACCGACTGACTGAAAGACACCAAAACCCCTACCCTCCTAAAGCCTGTCAGTCTTTTATATTCGATGTCCTTGTCATCAGGTTCTCCCAAAGCAGCGTGTGGCCTGCCTCCCATACCAGTAACCTCCCATGGTTTGGTCATCCTCCCCATAGTGGACCTGCCCTTCTCCAGGCCCTGTTCTCTGAAGGATTAGATGTATAAAGTTGAAATGCTCACATATATTAGTAGTAGAATGTTTTTTAAAGTCATTTCCCCCCCTTTTAAAAATCTTACCGCACATTTACCATGGAACACTATTTTAAAATTACAACCTAAGTCACTATAAAAAGGAATCCTTGACTTTATAACATAAAATCATGTGTGTACACACGTGTCCACATACGTCTACCTCTAATTTTTTATGTTTCAGAAAATATGATAGCAGCACAGTGCACCCATGTGACTTTGGATTCATGTGAAGAAAACGTGGTGCAACCCTCAAAAGACAGAAAGTTCAGGTATAGTGAGCATGTGGTTCTGTCACTCCATTTTCATTCTAGCTTTGCTTTAAGATGTAATAGAATTCCAGTCCTTAAAGGCTAATAGCATTTTTATGGACTCTCAGCTTTAAGTCCGAAGGCCCTCTCTGTGGATAAATAGAATAATTAACCCTTTGAGTGCCAACCAATATCCTAGGTACTATGCTAAAATTGCCAAGGCATTTTTGCTGATTTTACAGCAGTTTAGGAAAAAAATTATGAATCGCAAGTAAATGAAGTTACATATTCAAAAACTTAAGGAAACCTTTACTACATTTGTTTTCATCTTTGACATATTTAGCAATATTATCATCACTAATAAAAGCAGACTTAGAACTGGACGTCATTTCAAAGCTTTAGGGCTACAAAATTTGAGTAAACTTCATAAAATCGTAGTACCTATAAAAAATTAGGCAGATAAATGCCAGGGGTCAATTTTAGAACTACAAACATTCGGCATCATAAGTAATCTGCACTTAGGTGCCATATGTCAATAAAGAGTGAACTACTAGCATCTAATGGTGACACTGCAGGAGGAACACAATAGTGCTCCCGGCACTCTTGGCGAAAGACAGGAGAAGTGCGATTGCCCTCCCCGGCACTCTAGGGGTTAATCTAAACATGGGGTACATCGGGGCTATGAGAAAAGCAGTGAGGTAGCAGAGAATCCCTGTGGAAAGAGTTTCTGTATCTGATTTCCTCTAATTTGGGGAGCAGAACTGCAGTACTCTTACCAGACAAAGACCCTGTTGCAGAACTGAGCAAACAGAATTCCTTCTCTATACCCATTGTAATTAAGACAATCAATCACTTTCTTTTATGAGGCAGAAGATACAGTGTTTAAACTTAGGAATTGGTGCACAATGCAGACTTACCATACATTAATGTTTTGCAGAAGTAAAATTCCAACATATTTGAGTAGTCTTATAGACACTGAAAGTAGCTATAATCTTTTGAGCATTTATTATATCCCAGAACAGTGGCTATGCTTTTCATAAACTATATCTTTTAATTAACCTTACAGTAACTTCAGTTATAGGAACTAGTCTTTTCTACCATTACAGATGAGGAAACCAGGCCTAGAAGGCTAAATAAATGACCTAAAGTCATACAGCTTCTAATTGGAAGCATGGGACTTGAACCCATATCTCTTATTTTAGAACCCTTGCTCTTACCACTGGACTGTGCTCTTGTTATCAAACTCCCCCCCCCCCTTTTTTTAATTAGAGAAAAGGGATTTCTTTTCTCTGGTACCTTTTTAATACTCTTTTTATTTTTTACTTTATTTTTATTGTTGACACTATTACAGATGTCCCCATCTTCCCCCCTCTTTGTCCACCTCCACCCAGCCTCCTCCCCCTTTCCCTCTGGCCATCACCACACTGTTCTCTGTCTATGGGTTATGCTTATATGTTCTTTGGCTAATCCCTTTGTTTTCTGTGCCCCCCCCTCCCACAGCTGTCAGTCTGTTTCATGTATCCATGCCTCTGTTTCTATTTAGTTTGTCAGTTTATTTTGTTAATTAGATTCCACATATAAGTGAGGTCATATGGTATTTGTCTTTCTCTGACTGGCTTATTTCACTTAGCATAATAATTTTCAGGTTCTTCCATGCTGTCACAAAAGATAAGATTTTCTTCTTTTTTTATGGCTGCATTGTATTCCATTGTGGAAATATACCATGGTTTTTTTTTATTCATTCATTGACTGATGGGCACTTGGGCTGTTTTACAGATCTTGGCTGTTGTAAATAACACTGCGATGAACATAGGGGGTGCATATATTCTTTTAAATTGATGTTTCAGGATTCTTAGGATATATTCCCAGAAGTGGGATCACTGGGTCAAAAGGAAGTTCTATTTTTAATTTTTTGAGGAAACTCCATATTTTTTTCTACAGTGGCTGCACCTGTCTGCATTCCTACCAGCAGTGCATGAGGGTTCCCTTTCTCCACATCCTCACCAGCATTTGTTGTTTGTTGATTTATTGATGATGGTTGCCATTCTGGCAGGTGTGAAGTGATATCTCATAGTGGTTGTAATTTGCATTTTTCTTGAGCATTTTTTCATATGTCTATTGGCCAGCTGTATGTCTTCTTTGGAGAAGTATCTATTCCAGTCCTTTGCCCATTTTTTAATTGGGTTTGTCTTCCTGATGTTGATGTTGAGTTGTATAAGTTCTTTATATATTGGAAATATATATCTTTATATAATTGGAAATTAACCCCTTATCAGATGTATCCTTGGCAAATATGTTCTCCCATGCAATGAGTTCCCTTTTGATTTTGTTGATTTTTTTTTTTTTTTGCTATGTAGAAGCTTTTTAGTTTGCTGTAGTCCCATTTGTTTATTTTTTTTCTTTGTTTCTCTTGTCCGAGGAGACATATCAGCAAAACTATTACTATGAGAGATGTCTGAGATTTTACTGCCCATGTTTTCTTTTAGGATTTTTAAGGTTTTGTAACTTACATTCAAGTCTTTAATCCATTTTGAGTTTATTCTTGTGTATTGTGTAAGTTGGTGGCCTAGTTTCATTTTTTTTGTACCCACCCAATTTTCTCAACACCATTTATTAAAGAGACTGTGTTTACTCCATTGTATGTTCTTGCCTCCTTTTTCAAATACTAATTGACCATATAGGTATAGATTCATTTCTGGGCTCTCTGTTCTGTTTCATTGATCTATATGCCACTCTGCAGGTTGAGTATTGATTTGGGGTTTACAAATAAATTTTAGCATGCACATCCTATATAATATAAACCTAATATGCAAATCAACCGAATGGGGAACTACCGGGCACTATGACACGCACTGACCACCAGGGGGTGGACGCTCAACACAAGAACTGTTCCCTGGTGGTCAGTGCGCTCCCACAGAGGGAGTGCCGCTCAGCCAGAAAGAAGCCCAGCTCACGGCTGGCGAGCGCAGCAGCAGTGGCCAGAGCCTCTCCTGCCTCCAAGGCAGCACTAAAGGCCCCTTGGGGGATGTCCGACTGCTGGGAGCGGGCTAGGCAGGTGGACATCCCCTGAGGAGTCCTGGACTGCGAGAGGGCGCAGGCTGGCCTGAGGGACACCGCCGCCCTCTCCCCCCCAGTGCAAGAATGTCATGCACCGGCCTCTATTGAATTCATAAATTTGGAATCCATGAGTAATGAGGTTGAATGTGCAGATGTATATGTGTGTAAAAATGTACCAGTGTTGGGTTGTTGGATTGCAGTTCACACTTTCTGTTTATTTCATTGTTATAAAAGAAGGTATTTTGGATAAAGATAAGTGTTCAATCTTGGTGACAGTACTGATGCTCATATAATAGCTTGGGGGGTATAAACTGGTTCCTCTCAATGTTCCCTACTAAAGAATATTCCCTGTATTACCTACCAACTTATCGAATATATTACCACATCTTTGATTTATTTCTAATCATATGGTACTAGCTGTGTATTTGTATATTTTTGTTTTGTCTGAAGAAAATGCTTTATTCAACTTTGTGAAGCAATTTTGGAATATCATTCCTAGAATGAAAAGGAAACTGCTTTGTGAGACTTTCATGTGGTCAAATCTAGTAGTCTTGTAATCACGTGGTGTTTAGTTTCCTCCTCTCTCATTCTTTTCACACATCCAGTCCAATTCAAGAGAAAAGCCCAGAAGCAGCATTCCCCATCAGTGCATCTTCAGCATCCTTACTGCATCCGAGCCAGCCAGCTGCAGGTGGCATGCTGACCAGCGAGGCAGAGCAGAACCTGAAAGCTTGTACACTCACAGATACTAACCTTCCTGTTGTGCGGGAGCCATCGGACACCAGTGCTGGACTCCAGGCAGAATGGGTGCAGCCTCGGTCACTTGGGAGTGTCGATACTGCAAGTATGAACAGAGTCTCAGTCTTCATTGTACCCCCGAATAAGGACAGTCGCCTAGTAAAAGCTGCTTCTTGAAAAGCTCAAAGAGCAGGGACTCAAATGTCATTCAGAAAGAATTTGCATACTTTATCACATTTGCTGATGCTAGAGGGCTAGTTCATCCATTTTAATTTAATTTAATTTTTTTCTTAATCCTACCCCAAGGATATCTTCCATTGATTCTTTTTTTAGAGAGAGTGAAAGAGAGAGGGAGAGACACAAAGAGTGAAACATCAGTGTGAGAGAGACATGTCAATTAGTTGCCTCCCGCACGGGCCAGGGATCAAGCCTGCAATTGAGGTACATGCCCTTGACCAGAATCATACCTGCAACCCTAAGGGTCGATGTTCTATCCACTGAACAAGACTGGCTAGGGCCATCCATTTTGATTTTAGAAAGTGTCAAAAATATCTGTTGGAAGAGGAAATTGGACTTGGAGGTCATACTATGTGTTAAGCGTTTAATGTAATACTGTTGTCTCCATTTTACAGAAAAGTAACCAGGTTCAGGGTTAAGAGATCCACAAACCCAGGCTGCACAAAAACATTTTACATAATGGTTAGAAGCCCAGCCTCTGGAGATAGACTGGCTAGGTTCTAATCCTGGCTCCCCCTCCTATGAGGTCATGTGATCTTAGCTGAGATTATTTCAGTCCTCTGTGGCCTTTCTGTAAAGTGGCAATGATGCTAGTACCTACTTAGTCTTATAGTAAGGACCAAGTAAGTTACTAACTGTAAAGTACTCAGAACAGTGTCCCACGTAGGCTTAGCACTAAGTAAATGTTGATGCTGGATTAGGCTTGATCACTGCCACTAACTTTTTCCTTCCCTTTAGAAATGATTTCTCTTTTGTGAACCCAAAATATATCATACATACAAATTGCACATAGGTAGCGTACATATTAAAAGGCAGCATCTTTTGCCCTGCCCAAGTGGCTCGGTTGGAGGGTCGTCCCATATACCAGATAGGTTGGGAGTTCAGTCCCACGTTGGGGCATGTACAAGAAGGAACTGATTGATTTTTCTCTCACATTGAGGTTTCTCTCTCTAAAATCAATAAATGTATCCTCAGGTTAGATTTTTTTTTAAAGGCAACATCTTTTGTAGACATAAGTGAAAAAGCAATTTAGAGAATATATATCGGAGCATATTAGAAGTACCTAACTAATATGCAAGTCTTCCTTTAAGACATGTACCCATAATTGCGCTAAAGGCAGTATCTAGCAGTTCCCAATGAGTGAAACAGGTGCCTCTGGTGTTTTCCTTTGTCTCAACTGAATATTGGTCTAATTATAGATCTAAAATGATAATGAACTATACAGAACCATTCATTTTGACTTTTGAAAATGGTTTTTATTATTTGAATCAGTGCTCTTTACAGGTGAGGCTTTTGAAAGCTTATTTAATGCATGTCTCCACTTGCTTTATTTGTAATATCTTAGGTACTAACTTTATTATTTATTTATTTATTTTTTGTCCCCATTTCTTTAAGGCTTCACTGTTGAGAATCCATGGGATGATCGATTGATTTTCAAACTTCTGTCCGGGCTTTCTCAACCAGTGCACTCCAGTCCAAATGCTTTCGAGTGGCAGTGTAAACTTCCTGCCATCAAGCCCAAGACTGAGTTTCAGCTGGGTAAGAACTATGTGGTAGTAACTTTAAACTCTTATTTCTCTGTGGGAAGTTTGTGGTGACCCGTGTTGTGTGATTTTGCTTCTGGCACCACCATCACCTTGGGAAGGGTATTAAGCCATAACAGTAGGTAACATTTTTATTGCTATCGGGGCTCTAACGTCTAGAAGGCCAGTTGACAATACCTATCAAAATTAAAAATGCACATACTTTTAGATGCAGACATCACTTCTAAGGATTTCCCACAGATATACTGCATATATTCCAAATAACATGTGCATGTAAAAGCAGCAGGTTGGAAGCTACATAGGTGCCAGTGGGGACTGCTTCAATAAATAACTGGATATCTCTGTAGTGAAATGCAGCTCTCTGTACTTATAGGGGATGGCCTCCAAAACATGCTGTTAAGAAAAAGGGCAGACTAGTACTATGTACTGCTCTTGTTTTAAAATATTTTTATTGATTTCAGAGAGGACAGGAGAGGGAGAGAGATAGAAACATCAATGATGAGAGAGAATCATTGATTGGCTACCTCCTGCATGCCCCACACTGGGGATAGAGCCTGCAACCCAGACATGTGCCCTGAATAGGAATCAAACTGTGACCTCTGGTTCATAGGTTGACGCTCAACCACTGAGCCACGCTGGCTGGCTGCTTTTTGTTTCTTAAAAAGATCATGTCTATATACATATTTGATAGTATTTCCAGATAACTTTTGAAAGGTACTCAAAACTAATAAAAATGGGAGTGGGAAACAGTGGCTGTGGATAACAATGGGAATAACATTCTAACAACATACTTTCCATACATAATACACAGACTCCTTTATTAACATTTTGTTTTAGTGCAGAACATTTGTTGAAGTTGATGAGCCAATATTGTTACATTATTATTAACTAAAGTTTATATTAGGGTTCTCTTCCTTAGTATTGTTTTGAGAAATGTGAAATGATGTGTATCCATCATTACAATATCATACAGTGTAGTTTCACTGCCCTAAACCTGCCCTGTGCTCACCTAAAACCCTGCCAACCACCCATCTTTTTACTACTGTCTCCATAGTTTTGCCTTTTCAAGAATGTTATATAGTTAAATCATATAGTATGTAGACATTTTTGATTGGCTTCTTTCACTAAGCAATATGCATTTTTAAGATCCCTCCATGTCTTTTAATGGCATAATAGCTCTTTTCAGTTGCTGAGTAATAATTCACTGTATGAATGCACCGTCACTTATTTATTCATTCACCTATTGTAGGCTATCTTGTCTGTTTCTGAGTTTTGGGCAATTACGAGTAAAGCTGCAGTAAACATCCCAGTGCAGGTTTTGTGTGGACATAAGTTTTCAGTTCATTTGGGTAAATATCAAGGAGTTTGATTGCTGTATTACATCATAAGAATATGTTTACATTGTCTTCCAGAAGGATTTTACCATTTTCCATTCCCACCAGCAAAAATGAGAGTTCTGTTGCTCCCATCCTCACAGCATTTGATAGTGTCAGTGTTTTCGGTTTTAGCTATATTAATAGATGTGCATTATTGTTTTTAATTTGCCTAATGACATGATATTGAACATTTTTATATGTTTATTTGCCATCTCTATATTTTCTTTGGTGAGTTATAAATCTTTGGCCCCTTTTTAAATGGGATTGTTCATTTTCTTAGTGTTGAGTAAAAGAGTTTGTTGTATTTTTTAGATAATAGTGTTTTATCAGATAAGTGTTTTGCAAAGATTTTCTTTCAGTCTCTGACTTTGTTTTTCATTCTATTTTTCATTCATTTCTTTCACAGACCATGCTTTTTTCAAATGTTTTTTTCTTTTCCTTTTATTGATTTTAGAGAGAGAGGGAGACGTGGAGGGAGATAGAAATGTCAGTCAGCTGCCTCCTGCATGCCCCCTACTGGGGATCAAGGCTCTAACCCAGGCATGTGCCCTGACCAGGAATCAAACTGGCAACCTCCTGGTGCATGGGACAAAGGCCAATCAACTGAGCCACACCAACCACGGCACACAGATTATGCTTTTGTTGTTATCTAAGAGGTCATTGACAAATCCAAGGTCACCTAGATTTTCTCTATATTGTCTTCTGGGTCTTTTATTTGATAGTTCTGTGTTTTACATTTAGATGTATGATCCATTTTGACTGAACTTTTGTGAAAAGTTCTGTATCTAGATTTATTTTTGCAAGTTGATGTTCAGTTATTCTATCACCATTTGTTGAAAAGACTCTCCTTTCTTAATTGAATTACCTTTGCTTCCTTGTCAGTGAGCAGCTGACTATATTTGTTTGGGTCTGTTTCTGGGTCTATTTCTGTCTGTCCATTGACCTATTTGTCTATCCTTTCACCAATACCACAGTGTCCTGATTATGGTAGCTTGATGTTGGTGTTGGGTAGTGTCAGCTCTTTGATTTGTTATTCTTCAATATTGTGCTGGCTATTCTGGGTCTTTTTCCTCTCCATGTAAAGTTTAGAATCACTTTGTCAATATCCATGAAATATTACATTGAATCTATATTATCAAGATGGGAAGAATAACAACTTGACAGTTTTATGTCTTCCTGTTCATGTACATGAAATATCTCTATTTAAATCTTTGATTTTTTTCATCAGAGTTTTGTCATTTTCCTCATATAGATCTTGTACTTTTTTTATGTTTGGTTTTTTGTGTGGTTTTTTGTTAATCCTCACTTGAGGAAATTTTTTTTTGTTTTTCATTCCTTTTTTTAGAGTGAAAGGGAGGAGAGAGGAAAAGGAGGAGAGAGAAAAACCAGTGTTGTTTGCCTCGATTGGTTGCCTCGCACCTGTCCCCCATTTGGGGCATAGGCTTGAACTACAACCAAGGCACATGCCCTTAACTGGGACTCGAACCCTCAATCCTTTGGTATGTGGGCCAATGCTCTAACTGCAGAGCAACGCTGGCCAGGGCAGATCTTGTACATATTTTGTTAGATTTATACCTAAGTGTTTTAATAAGCTTTGCATACCTGGAGTGAAATGTTAATGGTATTGTGTTTTTAATTTCAAATTGTATTTATTCATCTCGGTACATAGGAAAGCAACTGACTTTTGTACATTAACCTTGTATCCTGCAACATAGCTATAATCACTTATTAGCTACAGATTTTTGTTGATTCTTTGAGATTTTTCTGGATAGACAATACTGCTGTCATCTGTGTACAAAGACTATTTTATTTCTTCTACCCCAGTTTGTATGCCTCTTATTTCCTTTTTTTCACCTATTGCATTAACTAGGACTTTGAGTATAATGTTTAATAGGAATAATGAGAAGAGATATCCTCACCTTATTCCTGATCTTAGTGGGGAAACATATATATAATTTCTCACCAGTAAGTATGATGCTAGCAGTAGGTTTTTTGTAGATTTTCTTTATCAAGTTGAGGAAGTGCCCCTCTATTCCTAGTTTGCAGGGAATTGTTATCATGATTGAATGTTGAATTTTATTAAATATTTTTTCTGCAGCTATTGATATGACCATATGATTTTTATTTTTAGTCTGTTTATGTGATCAATTACTTTAACTGATTTTTTAATGTATAGTTAGCCTTGCATACCTGAATTAAATCCCACATGGTTGTGGTGTATAATTTTTTTCTACATTTTTTTGGATTTGATTTGCTAATATTTTGTTGAGAATTTTTGCCTCTGTGTTCTTAAGAGATATTGATTTTTAGTTTTCTTTTTTAAATTTTTAAAATATACTTTATTGATCTTTTACAAAGAGGAAGGAAGAGGGATAGAGAGTTAGAAACATCGATCAGCTGCCTCTTGCACACCCACTACTGGGGATGTGCCCACAACAAAGGAAATGCCCTTGACCGGAATCGAACCTGGGACCCTTCAGTCCGCAGACTGACGCTCTATCCACTGAGCCAAACCGGTTAGGGCTAGTTTTCTTTTCTTGTAATGTGTTTGCCTGGTTTGGTATTAGGGTAATGCTGACCTCATAGAATGGGTTAATAAGTTTTTCCTCTGCTTCTATCCTTTGAAAGATATTGTAGAGAATTGGTGTAATTTCTTCCTTTGTTTGGTAAAATTCACCAGTGAAACCATCTGGGCTTGGTGCTTTCTGTTTAAAAAGGCTATTAATTATTGATTCAATTTTTTTACTAGATATAGGCATACTCAGATTGTCTATTCCTGTGTGAATTGTGGTACATTGTTTCTTTCAAAGAATTGGTACATTTTATCTAGGTTATCAAGTTTGTGGGCATAGAATTGCTCCTAGTATTCCTTTATTATCCTTTTAATGTTCATAGAATCTGTAGTGATGCCTCTGTTTCATTTCATTGATAATAGTAACATGTTCACTTTTGATATTAATATTGTGTGTCCTCTCTTTTTCTTAGGTAACCTGGGTATGGGCTTATTGTCTTTATTGATCTTTTTAAAGAATTAAAATAATTAGCTTTGGGGTTTTTTTATATTCTCTATTGATTTTCTGTTTTCAATTTCTTTTATTGATTTTTGTTTTTCTCTAGTTCTTTTTTTCCTTCTGCTTTCTTTGGATTTAGTTAATAATTGTGATAAAGTCGTGCCCCCCCCTCCCCCCCCACTTTGACATGTCTGTGTCCTCAGGTTCTTTGCTGGTCTATATTGATCACCTTCTTGGAGAAGGCGCTTTTGCCCAAGTTTATGAAGTTACCCATGGAGATGTGAAGGATACCAAAAGTAAACAGAAATTTGTTTTGAAGGTAAGTGATCTGGGCAGCTTTTTGTTTGCTAGAGAACTGCCTTTTAGAGCTTTTCTTTTCTAAGACTGGCGGTTTCTTTCATTTAGGTTTATAGCCCCCATTTAAGAACCAAAATTATCCTACATGGACTCAGAATTGCCACTAAAATTATGTTGCAGCAGGTTCCATAATGCAGCAACACCGCACAGCTTGTCATCACTTCCCACCCATGTCTTTCATTGGGATAGAAATTGCTTTCCTGCCATCATTTCCAGACTGTGAGACTGGATTTGAATGTGACACACCTGGTTTGCAGGTCCAGAAGCCCGCCAATGCCTGGGAATTCTACATTGGGACCCAGCTAATGGAGAGACTATCACCCAGTGAGCGACACATGTTTATCAAGTTCTATTCTGCCCACTTCTTCCAGGATGGCAGCGTATTAGTGGGAGATCTCTACAGCTATGGAACATTACTGGTAAGTGTATTCACATTGATGATGTGGATATGAATCTGAAGTTCTTTATCTTATGCCTTGCACATACCTTATATAGTTGGAGCTTTTATTGGAGTGGTAGGCTGGGGCAAAGCTCTTGACTTGAAATTTCATTGATCCTGTGTACCCAACTCATGATTCCACTTTCCATTGTTTTTAGAATGCTATCAATCTCTATAAAAACACCCCTGAGAAAGTGATGCCTCAAGCTCTAGTGCTTTCCTTTGCTATAAGAATGCTGCACATGATTGAACAAGTCCACAGCTGCGAGATCATCCATGGAGACATTAAGCCAGACAACTTCATACTTGGAAGCAGGCAAGTACTGTGTTTTTAACAGGGCTCTCCTCTTACCATTTGCCTAGCAGACTTTTTTTATTGTGCTCATGCGGCCTGGCCTTGTTTGTGTTTAATACAGATTTTTGGAACAGGACAGAGAAGATGATAATTTATCTGATGGCTTGGCACTTATTGACCTGGGTCAGAGTATAGATATGAAACTTTTTCCAAAAGGAACTACATTTACAGCAAAGTGTGAAACGTCCGGTTTTCAATGTACTGAGATGCTCAGTAACAAACCGTGGAACTACCAGGTATAAGAGTTAACATGAGAGATTTGGAAACATTTTTCTTAATTATATAACAACTTAATTATATTTTCAAAATGAATTTGAGCATCTAGTTAGTATGAGCTGCTCTAGTCTCCTATTCTGGGCTTTAGGCCATGCTTGAGTGTTATGTTCAGTTATGAGCACATTCCACGAGGCTTTGGAGTGCAGTGAGAGCAGAGGGTGGGGTCCCAGGGCCAGGAGTTAGGAGGCCTTCCAAACTGTCCTTGGGGGAGGGGATTTCTTTTGCCTCTGGGTGACAAAAGAAAGGAAGGACTTAGAAGGACACAACAGCTCAAGGAGAACAGAGCTTCAGGGGACAGTGGGTGATCTGTCCATGGAAGTTTCCACCAAAGCCTAGACAGGCATTCAGTAGGGCACATCAGTGGGATACAGAACATATGATGTCCAGATTCTTCAAAAGTAACTTCTTGTGACTGTGTAGCTTGCTGAGTAAGTTAGACATTTTAATATACTGGTGTGTGAATTAGTATTTTAGATATATAGACCTATATTTTCTTTGTAGATTGATTACTTTGGAGTTGCTGCAACCGTGTACTGCATGCTTTTTGGCTCTTACATGAAATTGAAAAATGAAGGAGGAGTCTGGAAGCCTGAAGGTCTTTTTAGAAGGTGGGTATTAGCACTAGTACCACCGTGAGGAGAGAATAAATATGCTGGTGTGTTGAGTTCCATCTCAAGGGGTAATGGATCTCTGCCTGCGTGGAAAACAAATGCCTTGGCAAGTATGGTGACATGGCACAGTCCTGGGTGCTGGGTACAGTGAGCAAGTTCCACAGCTTCATTACTTTGTTCTCATCTGAGACAGTGTGGCAGCCAGGGCCCTCCTAGAAGCAATGAAAACCCTGGCTGAATGGTTGCCTCCTGTACACACCAATCACCTGGTGTTACCAAGCCTCCACTTGTTGCTTGTTTGTCCTCTTGCCTGTGGAAATGGAAATTATAATCCTCCTGCGTACCTAGATGTTTATTATAAGAAGCAAGAGAAATAATGCATGCAAAAGTGCTTTGTAAATTATAGAGTAATATGATGAGGCAACTATCCATCACAAGGTAGGGTTTTAAGTCCCACCCCTGCATGACTGTAGTATTTCTGAGACTGTTTTCTCATCTGTAAAATCACAATGGCAATTAATGATTGACTAGGATTCTTCCTTTCAACATAGATGACTCTCTTAATATAATGTGTGAATCAACTATTGGTAATGTTTAAGCTGAGCATTCAGTACAAGTATACTCATTATATATTTATTAGAGGCCCAATGCACGAAATTTGTGCTGGAGAGGGGAAGGGCCTCAGCCCGGCCTGTGCCCTCTCACATTCTGGGACCCCTGGGTGATGTCCGACTGCCAGTTTAGATCGGGCCTAAACTGGCAGTCGGGCATTCCTCTCGCAATCCGGGACCCCTTGCTCCTGACCGCCTGCCTGCTCGCTCCTTACCACTTGGCTCCCCACTCCTTACCGCTGCTGCGGAGGCAGGAAAGGCTCCCACAACTGCTGCTGTGCTTGCCAGCCTGGCTTCTGGCTGAGCAGCACTCCCACTGTGGGAGCACACTGACCACCAGGGGGCAGCTCCTGCATTGAATGTCTGCCCTCTGGTGGTCAGTGCATGTCATAGCGACCGGTTGTTCTGGTTGTTCTGCTGTAAGGGTCACTGAGCTTTTATTATATAGGACTAGAGGCCCGGTGCACAAAAATTTGTGCACTCGGGGGGCGGAGGGAGGGGGGTAACCCAGCCCGGCCTGTGCCCTCTCCAAGTCTGGGACCCCTCGGGAGATAACGACCTGCTGGCTTAGGCCTGCTCCTGGGTGGCAGAGGGCAGGCCCAATCCCTAAGTGCAGCCCCTGGTCAGGCTCAGAGCAGGGCCGATTGGGGAGTTGGGGCGCCGCCCCGTCATGCACAGAGCAGGGCGGATCGGGAGGTTGCGATGCCACCCTCAGTCACGCTCAGGGTAGGGCCGATTGGGGGGTTGGGGCACCGCCCCCTGTCACACTCAAGGCAGGGTCGATGGGGAGGTTGCGGCGCCAACCCCTGTCACGCACAGAGCAGGGCCAATCAGGGGGTTGGGCGCTGCCCCCTGTCACGCACAGAG